GAGCTAATAAGCCTACAAAAATAATTATAGCACCAGGAACCCAGCTAAGCCCCGACATAACTTGTCTCTAAACCTTCAGCTGTGCATTTCTGGTTTCACGGGTTGCAAATTCCTTCTACTCCATTTATCTGGAATTTACTGCCAACAGAGTCCAAAGAACAGAGAAACAAAGAGATCATACGGCTTTTATGACAAGCAAAAGGCAGCTCCCTCCCAGCAGGTCATCTGCTGCTCTACTCAACTCTCCCTGCTCACCATATCCCAAAGCACGGGGATCTCAAAGGCATACAGGCAGGAGGCTAAAGAAAGCATCTCAGCAGGTCGAAGAGGGGGTAAAAGTTCCGGGAATCTCACGGCTCTGATGCCTGGACCACATGAAAGACGACAAGCGGCTGCGGCTCGTCCAGCATTTTAAAACACAGGGCAGCGTAAAACTAAGACCCTCTATCTAAAAATCCACCCTGGCTTAGCTCTCCTCCACCAGCACCCAAGACCCGGCTGGCCCTGGGCACCCTGAAAAGCCCCCGCGCAGGCGGCCGGAGGGCTGGCGCAGAGCGGAGCCCGGCTCCATCTCCCCCGCAGCCGGACCACTGCCCGCACCGCTCCCCTCAGCGCCTCCAGGCCTCCCGCGCCGAGCCCCGCTCCCGTCGTGTGGGTGTCCCCACACCCCGCCAGTCCTCAGGGCTCCCCTCCGCCACACCCCCGGCCCAGGCCCCACCGAAGCCACCACACGCTCCCCCTGACGGGATGCCCAGCCCAGGAGCCCCTTGCCGCGCTGAAGAGGGTACCAGCACGGCAGCCCCGGAGGAGCCGCTCACCCCGCCGCCGCTGACTGCCCCGATCCCGTCGAACTCCCTGCCCAGCCCGTTGGCATCGTCCAGCACGTAGGTGGCCGCCAAGAGCGGAGCAGCACCGACCCTGGGGGGGGCCGGGCCGCAGCTGCAGGCAAGCAGAATCGTGCCCCAGAGCAGAGCCGCGCAGTCCATCCCGGTCCCGGTCCCGGTCCCGGTGCAGCTCTGGTCCAGGTGCAGCTCCTCTCACACCGCGCCCCGCGGCCGCCCCGTCCCTGCAGCGCCTCCGCAGTGCCCGGCAACGCGCGGCACATGACCGCACCGGGGCGGGGCGGCAGCGCCCGGCACCACCATGCTGCTCCAGGGAGAGGAGGGCAGGAAGGCTTCCCAGCCTTTACGGGCAGCCCCGCCCGCTGAACTCAAGCTGCCATTTTGAGAAAGGGCAGGGCAAGCTGGTGAGGCGCGTGTCGCCATGCTGGAGTTGGGCACGGAGCAGCGAGTGAAGCTATCGCGGGGCCATCCTGAGTGTGGGAAAGCGGCGTGGCTGTGAGGCGAGACGGGGTTTGTGTGGAAGCGCGACGGCAGCGGGGTTCAGTGCAGCGTGAGCAGGCGCGTGCAGAGGCCGAGTCAAGCTGACTGTCTTTTTCGGGGTCTCTGACTCTCCTTTTTTGGGTCTCTGGCAAGGCACGATACTTGTCCCGGGCGAAGAACGGCGTTTCCTAATGCGTCTTTCATTTCCAGGCCCTCCCAGCACAGCCAGTTTCTTGGTTTTGCGCCGCTCTCAGGCTGCCACCAAACTCCCTGAAGAGTCGGCAGGAAGCGGCGCTTTGAAGGAGAGCGCTCCGGCGCGCCCTGAGGAGGATCTTTAATCGCCGCAGGGGCAGATGCTCGGAGCCGCCCCGGGCCCCGCGCCAGGTCCGCACAGGCCCTGCCCGCAGAGGTTGCTGGCAGCCCCGCGCCCTTCCCGGGGAATCCCTGTTGGGATTAGATCCGTAAACTGTGTCAGCAGGACCCAAGAGAGAGATGCTGAAAGTGGAGTTTAAATTATGATGGGCTGAACGAGCCTGTTTACGCCTACAGGGGTGCGCTGTAGGGCGGCCGCCTCAAAATGAGAGCGGCCGAGGTGGTGCTGAGCCGCACGCCAAAAATTTCTGTGAGGATTGTCGGGGTGTGCCCTCAGACTCCAGCTCCTACAAGCATTCGGCTCGGAGGAAAAGTAACCCGGAGATCGGCAATCAGCTTAATTATCGTGCAAAAAATCCTGATGGGGAACTGTCCTGTCTGTTGACCTCAGTATTTCATAGAGATGCTTCATGCGCCTAAAGGAGGACTGAGCCATGAGGAGATGCAGTGGCTAATGTCCTGCGTTGTGAAAGACCTGTGAAAAAGCCCCGGTTTTGCACGTTTCTAACCATAAAGAATGCTGTTTTTCGAGCCTCGGTCACTCCTTGTCATTGTGTGTCTACCACTGTCATTGAGGGATCTAATGTCTCAGTGATGACATTACCTGACTGACGTTTCCTGTTTATTTCTTTTTAAATAACAATACGAAGCACTCGCAAAACATTTTGCACTTTACAGCAATATCAAGTATTAACTAATGAACCTGCTCACACCCAAATGAGCTATATGATAGCATTATTACATGCAGACAGTCAGAGTAACTTCCTCAGGGCTACTGTGAGTCAGTGACACAGGTAGCATTATGCTCCGGGTCCTATTTCACATTCATTCCAGCAGACTGTACAGTTTTGCACACCTGGAAGATTTGCAAAATCATTATGAATTATTATTTGTTTCATTTTTATAGTTTCATTGATCAGTGCATCAATTTACTTCATGTAAAAGGCTTCAACTGTGAAATTCAGTCTCTTATTCACTCATGAGTGAATAATCGTCATTTTTCAAAACTTATATTTGCAATCCTGTGATGTGCTGAGTGCCCACCCTTTAAAGTTGGTACAGAAAAACATTATCAGAATCTGCTTTGGTGGAAGGAAAAGGATATTTACATTCAACGTTCATTCTGCATCTTGACCTTGTGCTGAACCATTTTTTTCTTTAGACTGAAAGGAATGAGAAAGAGGTGTCTTTACACACAAATTCTGGGCCTGATGGTAGATAAGACCAGCTATGACAAGGTGAAAGAAGCAGTGGGGGGAACCATAAATTCCGTAGGAATTCCACTAATTGACACAGATCGTTAATCAAGACTGTGCTATGTGTCTGGATTTAGAGAAAGAGAATAGAGACACAAGGAAAAAGAAAAAGGGGGGGTATACATTAAAAGGGGATATTGGGTGTTTCGGGAAGCATGTACCTCTCAAGTACCTCAGCCAGTAGGGAGAGGGAAATGTGGTGAGAATACAAGAATAAAAAGTCCCCTAAAATTTTTGAGAGACCTCATGGGGAATACCCCATGTCCTCTCCCTTTATTCAAATAAAGTTACAGGACTTCTCTGTCCTCTTTTTGAACATAAACCTCTAGTGTGTGTGGATTAATTTTCCTAACAACACCTTTGTTCATGGATCTTTTGTAAACTCAAATTTAACCAATAAACATATTGAGGACTTGCTGCTTCTTTTCTAAGTAAGATTGTTTTCCACTGTTAATGCTTTTCTGTTTCAGGGTTGGATTTTTTTTTCTCAGCAAACATTAATAACACCTGTTGTTCTTGGATGACTGATCTGAGATACTGTGTATGTCCAGATCTCACAAAAACTCTGGAAAATTGTGCTGCTTACATCAGAAATTAAATTTTTGCATATGGACACAAGTAAGAATTTATTTTAACATACAGCTTTATTTCCAGAACTCATAAAAGGCATAATCTCCTCTCTTGCTTCCTTTGATCTTTCAGTTCTGCTGTCATCACAGCAAAGAACTGTAGATGTTTCTTTATTTCTAATAATGATAAGAACTGGTTTTTTTCTTCAGCAAAGTTTAGAAATGCTCAACAAAATACCAGAACCAGCACACTGCACACTTAGTAGGTACCATGTTAGGAAAAGGCACGTGTAAAGTTATGAAAGCAGATCTTCGTCTAATGACTTTTCTCTAAGTGAAAATGAAAGTGTGACTGAAATTTATTTTAGAAATTTATCTAAGCAAATTATCTTCCATTCACCAAACAGGACAAGGCTATTATAACAGTTTGAGAATGGCCACAAGTATTTGATAGTTTAGGCTTTGTGTATCAATCAGATCAGTACTTAAAAATCAGTGGATTAAAAGGTCACACTGACTGAAAAATAAAAAAAGGAACCAAATCTCTGTATACAGTAGTTTAATATTATAGAGCTGCCTGGTATTCTCAAGGAAGTCACTATGCCCCTATTTTAGAACTTTTCCATTTGTTCTCTTTCATTTCTCCTTAGCAGCTGAATCATCAAACCGGTCAGTTTTGGTGTTACCCAACAGATGGACATATCAAGTGAAATTGTACCCACCTTCGTAAAGCAGAATTGTATTGTTCCAAGCAGAATTTAAGAAAAAATACACACAATAAAGTATTCTGATCACAGAGGGGGAAGAGAAATATGCTCATGTAACAACTTTCCACCAGTCTAATTGAATAGAATTATCTGTTAAAAGAATCACTTCTCTGAAAACTGCATCCAACCTCAGGTTATATAAAAATACATAAATATTTAACCTTTCACAGTGCATAAAATATTGTTATCCTTTGTTAACTAGAACTATTCATGGACTTCTTATAAATTATGAATATAATTCCTTTTCCACAAACTCCTAAAGTCATTGTAAAACATTTTTCACCTCTTCTCAGGTGGATTCTTATTTGATTCTGTGATCAATTTGTAGAGAAAAGCAGGTGAGATCCTTCAGTCAACAGAAAACATACACATTTTGAATTTACACATGTAAACACAAAACACAGCATTTTATTTCTGTGAATTGATTTCTCTGCAGAATATAATGTCTCCTAGATAAGAGGTGTATAATATACTAGGTTCATATAATTAGGCAATATTGTAAATTAAACTTACAAAGTCTCTAAAAGTATTTCTATATCTACTGAGGTTGCTTCCACCCTTTGTTCATCATCTTTTTTCTCATGGATAAGCTTAGTTCAATAAGGAATTGGGGACAGAAGAAAAAAGGAAGCAAAACCAAGAGATGTGTGAACTGCTGCCTGTTTATCTAACAGCAGCTTCCTGTCTCTCTATCTGATCAAGCAGAAGCAGACACTTTTCTTAGAGGCAGATACAGGTTACACTGCCAATGGCGCAACAGGAGCCACTGCAGGGGACACGTGGCTGCCAAGGTAAGCGCTCGGGATCCAAGGAGCCAGGGACACAACGCCGTTCTGGGACAGGTTTCAACCTAGCTCTCCCCAATGGCATGCTGACATCATACATCTGAAAGAAGGGGCACAAAAGGGACTGGAAAAGATTGCTTTGGGAGAAGGATTATTTCAATCCCAGAACAACCAAAACATGAGACTAAGGCTAAAGATATCAAAAGATTGAATTAGGAAAGATGTGCCTAGGAATAGGAAAGAAAGCTGGATTCATTTTTTGTTGTAATGGCATTGCCATGATCAAAATACTGTTGATTACAAAAGGGGAAAGAATGGAGAAGAACTGTGTTTGGGGGTAAATTTTTAACATTCTGAGCTGTCCCTCATTTCACTGCAAAAAGTACCTCAGGCCTCACAAACGGTTCCAGTAACTCTTTTATTAGTGTTCTTCAGTATTTTCAGACACTGGCAAGATACCCAGTGCTATTTATATCAATATGCAGAATGCTTAAAACTTAGCAGAAAAATAAGCTCTGGTATAAGTAGCTTCTTAGAATGCCAAATATCATGTATGTGAAAATATATTGTATGCTTCTGTATGCATAGAAGAAAACATGATACACTTAATGATACAGCAAAATAATACTTGCTTGCATGGCCTACATTGTATAAAACCTGTAGGTTTTTTTTCCTATTTTCTCACATTAAGTGAATGTTTATGCTTAATGAAACAGTCCGTAAAGTGTATCTTAGTTAAAAAGCCCTTTTAGACCTGTTTGAGTCTCTACAGAATCTCATGGACACCTGTGGGTGAAATTTAATGTTGCATGAGGAAAAATACTATTAATTTAAAAAAAAAAAAATGCCATATTTCTGAAAGGTGTATTTCAACTCTCCTAAACTGTGAAGTCATTCAGAATTGACTTTGGAGATCTTGTTAGGTAAAAAGAATTAGCTATGGAACATCTTCTGTACTTGAAGAACTCAGCTTGGCATTAGAACTTATTTTGAGAACACAAAGCAAACTACTTTGTCAAAATTTCTAAAAGAGAAAAAGGAAAACAATCTGACTTTCCATCTTACGATTGATATAAAGTATCACCAGTACTGCAGCTACTGCTCTAGCTCACACAGCATTGTTTCTTTCTTCCCCTACAAATTTTTTTACAGATAAGAGTATGGAATATCCTTTTGTATTTATATTTATGAAAGTTTAGCTTTGTACTTTGCATCTTTCAAAATGTCATAAAAGGAGAGACCACATAAAGCTCTCTGTGAACCTGAAGAAGATGCTGTAGAAATGTATTGATACAAATACAGTATATAATGACTACTTTTCTCTAGAAAATCTCACAAGGGTCCTTTGCAGGATTGTTTGCATACAGTACTCGAAGCATAACCTTTGCTAGTTCATTTCTCTAAAATTTATGTTTCACTGACCCTTCAGAATTCTTGTACAGTGGATTTTCTGTAGCAAAATTACAGGGACAGGAACTATGATAATAAATGAATAATGTGACTAAAAGAAAAAATTACTGTTGAGAATTTATTTTTTTTATTTGAAACATCTAATCTGAAAACAAGTCTATAAAATAAGTCACAAGTATATGGAATTAGTCATAGTAGTTTTGGACCATGAGAATCAAATCATTAAACCAAAATTCCTTGATGGTTAAAAAAATATATAATTGGGGGAAATTATCAAATACTGTTTTTTTAGGATAGCTGTAAGCCAATACCATCCTCCTAGGCAAAACCAGCAGGTGTACTCAGTAGCAGAGAGAAAACCTGGGAATGCTTCAGGTCATGCATTCAGGTAAGAATAATCATCTTGCATTACAAAGTCCTAATTATCAGAAAAACAACTCAGCAAGAAAGTGTGATATGGACTACTTCCTCTGAAATAAGGCCTCAAGCAATTTGAGTGAAATGTGTTGTAATCAGGTCAAAGTGGTACTTTCTGCTTTTATATTTCTGTGCAAGAAACTGTAGCATGCATTGTGGTAAGCTTCATTTGCTGGCTCTTTGACATACTTAAGTATAGGTCATCCATACGTGCCAGAATGACACACTTCTCGTTATTCCCATCATTGAAAGCATGTCCTCATGTAAGTGCCATCAATGTGTCATCAAAGTTCAGACATGGATTACCTGGGGAATGCTACACAGCCTCCAGGGCTGCGTTCATAGGAACTAATGAATATACAGGTTAAGAAAGGAAGGCAATGGGGTACAGTGACTTGTGAATATGAAGGACAGAAAAACCTTTCTGAGCTGAAAATTTTCATGTGGTCTCAACTCACTTCTTTGAATTTCATTTTTAGTGTCCAATTACACCTTAATTAGCCAATTACACCTTCAGACATTAGTTCCTTAAGGCAGATGGCAGACGAGCAAAGCAAAGAACACGTGGTTTATTCAGAGAAGAGCAATATAAGGACAAGTGTTTTACCTTATAATCAGTAAGATCAACAGAGCAAAACTCTCAGAAACAATGAGATAAAATGAAAAAGCTGAAAAAACCCCAGGTGGTATGAGGAAATCGGTATGTTGATCTAAGAGTGGATACAAAAGAAGCTGTTGTGAGTAATAAGAGAGAAGTTGGGAGCTTATAAGGATGGCAAGTCTGCAATACAACAAGTTAACAAAAGAGAAAGAGTTTATGGGGGAGGGAGAAGGAATTCCAATTTCTCAGTCACAAGACTAGGAAACACTGCCTCATACACTTGCATTACACACATGCTTCTGAAAGGGCACGTTTCCCTCTCAGACATGAAGAGACCTGTCATAGGAAAAATGTGATTAGGAGAAGAGGTAGGTATTTTATCTTTGATTCATCTGGTCTGTCTGCATACATTTGATTTCATTTTGGTGAGAAGTGGGTCACAATACCCTGGGATACAATTTCTAGAGCTAGATTTTTATCTTGTGGTACTTACATATACTGATAAGCTTATACCACCCAATTTACTGTGTGGTTTTATGAAACCAAACTGAAATGCAGACATCTTATGTTTGTCATATATAGACATGGCATTTTTTTTAATTAGTCATCATGTTGATAAAGTCCCTCAGTGGACCAAATTGGCAAGTCCTTCTCAAGAGTTTTCCTTGACTTTCAAGCTTGTGAATGAGTTTAGCGCTAGCTCTTAAGTTAGGCAACTTGATCAAATAAGGCATTGGCAGGTAAAATTGAATATGTGCTTTCTGGGTAGTTTTGTCACTGCTCCTTTTTTTTTATGAATAATAATGAAAGGGGCTTTTTGTGGACAAGAGATCCTTATAATAACCTTTCAGCACAGGCAATAAACTTGTTTGGGTTTTTCTGATAAACCCACAAACACATCAAACCTACAAAAGGATGAATTTTTCTTACCGCATATTTTAGAAAGTTTCTGCAGACAAGATGTATTCCATTGGAGTTCTTTTCCATGTGGAACAGTTGTAGATGTGCTATTTTGCAACCTACTCATTCTTCAGGCTCTTCACCTCCTCTGTTGCAGTCCAGGCTCTAAGCACAGATGAGCTATCACAGCAGTCTCTCAAGCAGTTGGCAGTGTAACTGGACTGCAACCAACATTTTCCATTCTTGTGTTTCCTGAACGTAACAATTAGATGTTCTCTAGAGAAAGGAGCTGCTGAATGTCAGAGCTGTGACACAATCAGTGAGTACCAGCTGTCTCACCACTACGGCTGTACACCCTTTCTTACTGAAAGGTCAGCTCTTCTTTGTGTTTCTAAGGCTCACACACACAACTCCTCCAGTCCCACTGCTTTAGTCAGGCCTGCCATTTTACTAATATTTTCATGTTGAAGCTGTTGATAACCACAGTCCTGAAAGTGACTAAGAAAAGTTTAATTGCTAATGGCTTTAAAAGTTCATGCATCACAGCTGCAATTTTTAGAGGGAAGAAGTGTAAATGAAAAACTGTACTCAGTCTCCACCTCACTTGTTCAGCCCAGCAGATTGTCATGTGCAGGCAGGAACTCAGTAGCCTGGCAGGTTTCACACCAGGGTTTCTGGTACATGCAGTTAAGTCATGCTGGAAGAGCACAGCTGATGGCAAGTTCATGTGGGATCACATACAAAGGAGGAGAGAGGAAGCAGGGGTGTGTGAGGATGCAAACAAGACAAGAGCGATTTTCAGTAGGGAAATATACCAGATACACATTTTCCTCTTCTGAGCAGATCCTGACATCCAGTGGTACCTGAATCCCTGTATTTCTATCTTTGTCTCTCCATTGCCTTGGAGGGGAGGAGGTTATTTGGGATACATCTCAAATCTACCATATTCATATTCCCAAAACAGTGCTTACCAGGAAAATAGAAAGTGCACATCTATTATTTTATTTGTGGTTCACTTTCTGATCTCCTTTAACTCTCCCACAAGAGAGACCCAGGATTGCAGGACACCACCCCACTCCTAGACGAAGTGTCTTAACTATTCATCCTGCTTCTGCTGTAGAAGCTTCCATCTAACTGACCTTGACAACCTTAGATTTTGGGTTCCTCTTCCTATGCAATCTGGGAGCATTAACATCCTCTGATCTCCTAAAAGCACGGTTTCTTTCTTCTAAAAAAAAAAAAGAAAAAAAAGTCACACACCAAGAATCCCATAAAAACAACAGAAATGTTATCGCTGACATTTTTTCTTTTTGGTAACAGAGGCCTGGAATCTTGTCAATCAGGTTCTGAAGAACTAACAGATGACAACCTATTGGACTACAACAAGGGGTTTTATTGCACCCAAGCTGGAATTATCTCAAGTTTACTACTGGGGTGGACAATGAACAACACTGAGTGCCATGATGATCACACCCTGGATAAGTATTTGTTTCCATTTGTGTACAGCACTGTGATGATGATCAGTATTCCCATAAACTGCATATCCCTGTATGTATCTTGCATTCAGGTGAGGAAGAAGAATGAGTTAGCAGTCTACATCTTTAGCCTGTCCCTGGCTGACCTCTTGTACTCTTTGATTCTGCCTCTGTGGATTGATTATGCCTGGCATGGAGATGACTGGAGGCTCTCTGCCTTGCTTTGTCAGATTTTTGCCTTCCTTATGTATATGAATTTCTACACCAGCACTGCGTTCCTTGCTTGCATCTCTCTTGATAGGTACCTGGCATTAGTTCACCCCTTGAAGCTCCAGTACCTGCGCACAAGAAGATTTTCATTGATTGTCAGCATAATTGTTTGGCTTCTGGAAAGCATCTTTAATTCAGTCATATTGGTGTACAAAGAAGTATTCAATGATCCTTGCAATTTCACTAATCATACATTATGCTATGATAACTACCCCCTGGAAAGGTGGCAGGCAAACATAAATTTATTCCGGATATGCTCAGGGTACGTGGTCCCTTTGGTAATCATTGTGTTTTGCTACCATAAAATCTACCAAGTGGTGAGGTATAACCAAGCCACAGTAGATGAAGAAAAGAAAAAAGTGAGGAAACTTATTCTGAACATCACAGTTACTTACCTTGTTTGCTTCACTCCTTATCACGTTGTACTGCTTATCCGCAGCATCAAAGAGCCTTCCACCTCTGACCCACACCTTTTGTTGTTGATGTATAAGGTTTACAGAATCACACAGGCCTTAACAAGTTTGAACTGCATTGCGGATCCCATTCTGTACTGCTTTGTGAGTGAAACTGCACGAACAGACATAGTGAATTTGCTCAGGTGTTGCTTGTGCCTGCGAAAGCGTGAGGAAGACCAAGCCAAAGAATATGCTCTGTGCAGTTCTGCTACAAAAAACACTGCACTGACCACCTACAGAACTTCCTGTGAAACACAGTCTGCCAAAAATTCCTGAATGAGCACATGCAAAAGAAAACTGGATAACCTGAAAGGAAAAGAAAGAAAAATTCCTCTCCAGTCTGTACCTAGGAAATGCCCCAAAACTCAGAGATAGGAGTCTAAGCAAAACCTGTAGCTGGAGCCAATAAGAACTTCATATAGGGTCAATGAAAATAATGGAGTATCAACACATATGTTTAAATCACGTATGGTCCATAAATCAGTGATAAGGAACAAAAGCACAGTCAAGAAGGATGGCTGTGACATGCTGACAGAATTACTGAGGATCCCCCACAGAACTGTCTCCTGTTGCAGCTTGCTAGCCAGCCTGCTGCAATGTACTAAGCCAGGGGAAGGCTGGAGTCCTCTTTGTCCTGATTAGCAAAGGAGCAGGCAGAGGGAGCATGGTAAATTTCTCTGTAATTTCATGGTGTCATTTATGCTGCTGTGATGGTCCTTGTGTTTCATTAAAGATTCAAATTCTTCTTTAGCATACCCCTGAGAGCAGACACTTCTCAAAAAAATTTTTACCTCCTGTGTACGGGCACTTACCTGCCCTTAAGCTTTTGTTTTCCTTGAAAAATATATGTTCTAATGTATAACTGTATGTGGTGCAGTTTCATTACAATACCAGTATTGGGTTTCAGGTAGTTGAAGATTCATTAATTCAAGTGCCCATAAAGAAGCAAATTCTAGCCACCACTGCATTGACTTGGATGAAACTTTCCCTGATACTTGCAAAGGAGGAAGAGAAAGTAAGGTTTCACATCTCAGTAATGTAAAGGGACAGCCTTTAGAGTTGCTTATTATGACTGAAATCTGGGGTGGGGTTCTGTTTTCAGACTCAATAAATTAAGGTTTGCATCCATTTACTTAACTGCACATGGAGGCCTCAGCTAGAGGTTCCAGGGCTCTCAGTCTGCCAGTTTTAAGAAAATTAAACAGGCCAGACAGCAATACTGGCAAACCAGCAAAGAATGTGAATGTACCAAGAAGCAGTAAGAATGGAAGCAAAAGAACCCACATTTTGCAAGAGTTGATGTTAGCACAAACCAGAAGTGCAGCTGTTAACTCAGGGACCTGTTCATGTGCAGGCCCCAGAAACAGCTGCCTGGCCTCCTGGTTCCCTGTCCCATCCAGACACATGACCCTCTGAAAAGAGTTAAAACGTTACATTTTTTTCTTCTCTCACAACTTTTTTTACTTTTTCTCAATTCCCAGAAAAAAAATATTTGCTTATGGTGGGTTTTTCTATTTCATAGGGAAAGAATTTTTCTTTTTGTAAAAAAAAAAAATTGCCCTCTAGCCATTTGTGTGGTGGAAGGACAAATTCAGCACCTTTTTAGGTCTGACATTATGTATGGAGGATGTGCATAAAATGGTTCCAAACAATAAGATATTTCTTATGAGAATATCCCTCTGTGTGTAAATTAAAAATTTCTCCATTGCAAAGAGCATTTCCATTGTTTTCATGAGTTGCTGTGTGTGTCTCTACAAATGGGACCTTGCCAGGCTGTGCAAGCTGGGCTTGTTCAGCCTGGAAAAGAGAAGACTTTGGGGGACTTAATGGCAGCTTTGAAATCCTGCAAAGAGGGTATTGAGAAGATGGAGCTTCTTCACCAGAGCTCATAGCAGGAGTGATATGTTTTAAGACTGGCAGGAAATAAGGGACCCTGCAACCACTCTCTCAGCCCCCTTCTGTCTCTCCACAGACAAGTGGAATGGAAAGGAGAATCAAAATAAAACTTGTAAGTTGAGATAAAAACAGTTTTATAATAAAAAATAAATTAAAAATGTAATAATAATAGTCAATCATAATAACAATGATAATAATAAGGGAAAAATCAAGTGACACACAACACAATTGCTCACCACCCACTGACCAATTCCAGACCCCACTTCCTGAGCCCAGATCAGCCACCCTTCTGGGTGACTTCCCAGGTTATATACTGGGCATGACATTTTATTATGTGGAATATCCCTTTGGCCAGTTTGGGTCACCTGTCCCAGCTATGCCCTCTTCCAGCTCTTTTGCAAACCTCCTCACTGGCAGAGCATGAGGCAAGTAAAAAGTCCTTTACTTATGATAAACACGTAACAAAACCCAAAACACATCAGTGTGTTATCAACACACATTCTGAATTCAAGACACGGTAACAGCTATTGAAAGAAACTTAACTCTACCTGTGCTAAAACCAGGACAAGGAGGGACAAGAAATCACGTGTATAACTTGAAGCAAGGGTCAGGGTTGATACAAGGAAGAGTTTTTGAGCTATGAAGAACTGACAAGCAGTGGAGCAGGTTGCACCAAGATGTTCTGTGTGCTCCATCCTCAGTCATTTCCAATACCCAACTCATCAAAGCTTGAGCAACATCTGAACTTGTAGCTGACCTTCCCTTTAGCAGAAGGTTGCGCTTGAGATACCCTGAGGTCCCTTCAAACCAAAATTTTCCTGTGATCCTGTGGGTAGTCTTTATTCTGGCTGTTGCCTTCCTCTCTAGAAAATGATGTTCCCTTCTCTTTTTTGTTTCCATTTACTGGATTTTGTTTTGATGTGGATTTGTGTATCTGATTTAGGTTTTTTTTTCTGTAGTTCCTTCTTATATATTATGAAGGAAGAATTATGCAAACAGTGGTGCAAGTTACTTCATCGTGAATTTTTTCCACTGCTGACCTATGCATTTTGCAACAGAATGTGAAATTTCACAGTAGCATTGAAATAAAAGCAGAACCAAAATTCAATGTAACTTCATGGAAAAAAATAACTCAGAGGTTGATTTTTAAATCTTTCACATGCCATAAAGGTTGGAAAGTCAATTCTATTTGGGCTTTTAATTTAAGGAATTTAAGAATTCATTTTAAAAATAATGAAAACGAAAGCTAGACAACAAAACTGAGTCAAATTTAACCTCTGTGTCAGGGAGTAGTTAGAGCTGGCAGCTCTGAAAGGGGCAGGGAGCCAGGAGCTGAGTGTGACAGCCAGGCAGACTGGGCAGCATCGTCACCAACAAGCCACAGTCCCACGGCACCCCAGCGAGGCAGAAGAGCAGGTCTGGCCAACTGTTCTCTGATCACCAGACAAACCTCTGGTGACAAGGCAGGTCTGAGGTCAGCTGGGAAGCCAAGTCAGGAAGGCAGCTTTGGGATCAGCAAAGGTACAAGGCTGGACATGGCAGCACCATGTCAGCATTGGCCTGTGCACAGGCAGTTCATGCCTAATGTAGTAGGAGAAGAGATCACAGACTCTGTTGGTAAAGTGACCCTTAGCCTCTGCAAAAAGCTTAATTTCCACAAAATTTCACCCTGAGATTTTAGGTCCTTTAATATTCCACCAAAGCTCATGAAAGCCATAGCATGGACCAGCTTTCATGGGTATCTGTGGATGTTTTTCATAGCATCATTTCCTATGGTACCTCCCTGCATAGGTTATGGAAAATATCATCCAGGTTCCAAAATGTCATCCGTGCTATATATTATTGTTATTGAATATTCCACTTAGAATTCCTGATGGCTCTGCAGGTAAAAAACAAATGCTAATCCACAGGAGCTCTTCCCAAAGAAATGACATTCCTTGCACAAATGAGTTTATGAAATTCACTTCCTATTTAATAGCAAGAAGAAAGGCATGAATTCAAATTCCATTTTCCTCACAGACAATGCCTACAAACATTAGTGTACAGTCTCCGTGAGTCACCACAGTTCTTATCTCACTTCAAATCAATATAATAAGAATATGGATAATTAAAAGGGCTGTGATGGTAATTTAATTAATATCCACAGGGCATGAAATGTCAGTGCCAAAGAATATTGCTGTCAGCTTAATAGAAATAGGGGTGAATTTGTCTATCAATAATTCTCTTAAAACAGAACCTGTCTGCCAAAAGTTCAGCAAATATATAGCTCAGCTTCATAAGTTGAGGGATTTTCAGTGAATTGTGATGACCTAGCTGGTAGAATTCCAGACATCATTTAATCTGGGTTTTTTTTAGAATCTTAGGATCATTAAGGTTGGAAAAGAGCATTAAGATAATCTAGTCCAACTATCAGCCACAACCTGCATCCCTGCAGATCATTATGCTGTTATTCTGAAGTACCTACACATAAGCTTCACTTTGTTAATGTCAGTGCAGCCAGTCTTGACTCACAAGGTCTCTGACAGAGACACCTGCCTAGCCTGTGGCTTTTTTCCTTTTTTCTTTTTTTTTTTTTGAATGTCTAACACATCTAACTGCAGAACTAGTGAAAAAGATGAAGTATGAATTTGAGTTATAAAGATAATGTATTGCACTTCCTGTTAGGATTCACAGAGAATGACGCTGCTGAAATCATTCTGATAAGTCTAGCGACGAGTCTTCAGTGATGTCACTCTTGATTAAATACCAGTAGAGAAGAGAGCAGTGGGCCATAGTTTAGTCATGTGCCAATTTCCATACTACCAGTTTCATCATTAAGTCTAGTTCTCTGTTTTCTAACGTGATAAAGAACCAAACTATTCATTGGAGGTCCCACCTCCACACAGCAGAGAGGGAAAACATGGATAGGAGTATAAGATGCTTGGCACCAGCAGGACCACAGTAGCAGAAAACCAGCTTGCCCAGAGCAAGGCTGCAGGGAAGGAAAGTGAAGCACAGCACTGAGCTCAGCAGGAGCCAGGGCAGCTGCTGCCAGTTGCAAAGGCTCTCCTGGTGGTCTCCAAGCCCTGTGAGATGGCAGCTTGCCCCTGCCCAAGGCCACCAACTCCTCAGCACCTGCAGGGCCCCCAGTGGGGCTGATCCAAGGCAGCATCTGATAAGTGATGCTCTAGTACTGATAAGGGGAAAAAATCAAAACACATTGTGCATGTGTTTTTCATAAAGATTTTTTATTTTACGGCTGCACTACAGTGGCTGTGTTACTGACAAGTTGCTAGCCTAAGCTGACACAGGGAATTTTTGACTGTTCAGACATGAATTAAAAGTAGCCAAGCTATTTCACCTAAATCCTTCAATGCCCTAGAAAGACATAAAGTATGTTCTGAACTGGAACTTCAGAAAAGAGAAACACAAATCAATTAAAGAAAAAAAAAATGAAAGAGAAAACATTTAGGAGAAGACTGCATTAGATGATATATAAAAGGCCTGATCAAGGTGAATTACAAAGATACTGCACAAGAGAGAGTCAGATTCTCATCTCTGCCAGCCTAGAGGTATTGCCAGCAGAGTATAACTTACAGCCTGTATCCAGCCTCTGTACAGCAGAGTGTGTGTCCTACAGCATCTCACTGAATATCAGAGTACACACATTGTATCACTAATGTGGCATGGAAGTGCTAAAACAGTGGGAGGTGCAAAAAAAGTGGGAAAATAGGTCAATCCCTTTTTTTTTTTTTCTTTTCAAAATTAACTTTGAATATTTTGGTGATGGGAGCACAGACTCACAGCTCCTTTAAACGGAGTGTGAGAGAAATTGAAAAATATAAAAGATGAAGTCTCAAGAGCAAAGGTAGCTGTTACTTTGAACTTAGCATTTTGAGAAATGTTATTGCTATAGCAACTGCTAAAGGTTCAATACAGAGATAAAATATTCTTTTGTTTAATTTTCCTGGTAAAGTCAGTATCTGTTGCTGGATGAAAAACAGAGCTGATGACAGATTGGGTAGAAGCACTGTACCAGTGCCCAATCCTATATAACCCTGTGGGGTGAGAGGCTGGACATGACCCTGCAGTGTGCACTCACAGCCCAGAAAGCCAATCCTATCCTGCATCCAAAGCAGTGTGGGCAGCAGGGCAAGGCAGGAGATTCTGCCCCTCTGCTCTCCCTGCTCTGCACTGGTGAGACCCCACCTCCTGTGCTGCATCCAGCTCTGGAGTCCCCAGCACAGGAAGGACATGGATCTGTTGGAGTCCAAAGGAGGGTCTTCAAGGTGATTAGAAGAATGGAGCAGCTCTCCTGTGAAGAAAGGCTGAGAGATTTGGGTTTGTTCAGCCCGGCAAAGAGGAGGCTTCCGGATGGTCTAATTGTGGCCTCCCAGAACCTGAAGGGGACCTGTGAGAAAGATGGAGAGGGACTTCTGCAAGGGCATGTAGGGGCAGGACAAGGGAGAAAGTAGGTTTAGATTAGATACTGGGAAGAAACTCTTTACTGTGAGGGTGGTGAAGCACTGGAACAGGTTGCCCAAAGAAGTGGTGGATGCCCCATCCCTGGAGGTGTTCAAGGCCAGGCTGGATGGGGCTTGGAGCGACCTGGTCTGGTGAAAACTTTCCGTGCCCATGGCAGGGGGGTTGGAACCAGGTGATCTTTGAGGTGCCTTCCAGCCCAAGCCATTCTATGATTCTATGATGATTCTTCAGATTTATATATGGCATGTTGCCTTTCAAATTACTTACTGAAGTTCACTTAACATAAACATTGATTTACACAAGCTTTTCATGAGAGGTGGTCCTGA